CCTCGCCAAGGAAAATGATTAGACTTAATTCTTATGTGTGGGACATAATTGTTGGATGCTTTGTTCATGAAAAGGCAATTTTACCTTTGTGAATAGTCTCACATTGAAAAATAAGATGAATAGTAAATGGTATATAATTGTTCTCTCCTTATTGGGCTTTGAATAGTATTTTGGGTTTTATGGGCTTTGCATATCTACCACACGCGCGCACGCCTCGCCCGCACGCGCACCGCACACGCACACATTTTTGCTTCTCAAGCTTTTATTTTTGCACGTTTTACACGTTCTGTAACGGTTGCATGCGGGTAAGGGAAACAAGATTTGTGTGTAACAGTCCCTTGGATTCAGCGGGGGTTACACTTCTCCTCACCTAAATAAGCAGGCTTGGAGCTCATTCAGAAGCACACCAGCGAAGAGAAGAACTTCTAAGCTCTCTTCTTTCTCTACTCTCATTCCTCCAATAAATTTTAGCTACATATTTTATATTTCTAATTTTGGGCAACCGTTTTTATCTGAGCATAAGCTTTGTGACTCACGCCCGAATGCAGAGGCCGGCCGATTCCGGGGGTTTTTACCGCTAGGGGAGAGGGGAGAGGGGACAAATTACGCCAGGGCGATAGGCGGGTCCTTAATCTTCTAGGGCAGTGATATCACGACTGCTCCCGATCAGGCTTGAATTTTCTAACTCTTTAATTTGTTTTTATATTATTATATTCCAGTTTTGACAGCAATCTAGAAGATCTTCTCTCTGAACTTCCTTTGGTCCCTAAATCCTCTCCTCCTATTTCCATTCACTCTGATTCTAGATCTACCATAGAGCTTCTAAAGCAAGTACATGTAAATAAAAAACATAACAGACATATTCAAATAAGATATAAGTCTGTACAACGCCTGTTAGGCAAAATTGTGATCTTGAACTTTGTAAAGTCTGAGAAAAATCTTGCTGACCCTTTGACTAAGGGATTATCCAGGAGTGTAGTTCTGGATTCATCGAGGGAGATGGGGTTCAGCCCATAAATGAGGTCACTGACAGCGACAACCCAACCCTTATTTGGAGACGTAGTCCCAATGTCGGTTCAATGTGGTAGAAATATGCTGGACAAGTGACTCTCGTGTGGAGCATCGACCTAGATATATTTATATATCATTATGTAGCATTTGCTACTACCCCTTCTCTATGATGACGATGCTCTTATGATACAACTGGCTAGGCTGAGTTTTACTCTTAATAAGTCCAACGCGTGTATTGTGGGGAGTATTAAATAAACAGCTGTAGTATCCTTTAAGGACTTACCTACGTGAGAGGAACCGTAATGGCCGCGGTTGGGGGGGCAGGGCTGACCCCTGAAAACTCTCATGAGTCGATTTTTTGTGAGCATGGCCTTTAACGCTCAACCCGCTTAGCTCAATAGATGAAAACGTATTGTGAGTTTTTATCAATACCTGATCCAAGGGGCCTAATTCAAGGCCTAGTCCATTATGTCCCTCAGGTGGCGATGAACTCACTAAGGAAAGGTTCAAAGCCGAAAGCTACCTCTCCCGAATTCACGATACGAAAGGTTGCCCAACCTATATTTATTCTGTGATTTATTTATTGATTTATTATTTTCAGTCAATATTGATGTTTTGTTCATGAAAATGTAATTTTGCCTTTGTGAATCCCACATTGAAAAATGAGATGAATAGTAAAGGGTATATAATGGTTCTCTCCTTATTGGGCTTTGAATAGTATTTTGGGTTTTGTGGGCTTTGCATATCTACCACACACGCGCGCGCACGCCACGCCGCACCGCACACGCACACATTTTTTGCTTCTCAAGCTTTTATTTTTGCACGTTTTACACGTTCTGTAACGTTGCATGCGGGTAACGGAAGCAATATTTGTGCGTAACGGTCCCTTGGATTCAGCGGGGGTTACACTTCTCCTCACCTATATAAGCAGGCTTGGAGCTCATTCAGAAGCACACCAACGAAGAGAAGAACTTCTAAGCTCTCTTCTTTCTCTACTCTTATTCCTCCAAGAAATTTTAGATACATATTTTATATTTCTATTTTTGGGAAACCGTTTTCGTCTGAGCATAAGCTCTGTGACTCACGCCCAAGTGCAGAGGCTGGCCGATTCCGGGGGTTTTTACCGCTAGGAGAGAGGGGACAAATTGCGCCAGGGCGATAGGTGGGTCCTTAATTTTCTAGGACAGTGATATCACGACTGCTCCCGATCAGGCCTGAATTTTCAAACTCTTTAATTTGTTTTTATATTATTGTATTCTAGTTTTGACAACAATCTAGAAGATTAAGTAAAAATTCTTGCTGTTAAGTTAATTAGTTTAAAAAAATAAAAAATTTACTGTTCATCGGGATTACTGTTCACCCGAATCTTCATTGTATTTACTTGTTTATTAGTTAATTGTTTTAATTTGTGACATCTAAATTAGTTTAAAAAAATTTATTTCTTTGTTGCTTCTGTACTCAATTTCTGCATCTGTCATATATATATAATAAAAAAACAAAAAATCTTTAAGTGAACCGGTTCAAGTTTTCTTAGATTAGTTGGTGTCTAAGGCAAGGTTTAAGGGTTGCGTCAAGCGCTCTGTAAGAAACGAGGTACTTAATAAATCTTTGATCAACCTCTAGTACTATCATTATCTGATCAAACTACGCGAGTAAAACTTTTATCTTTTCACTTTCAGAGTTTTTGATTTAAAGCGGGTTTAATTAAGTTTATGGTCTAGTAATATTGACAAAATCCTTTTTATATCAGATTACATCTACCTAGACTAGTAAACTTGATTTGGACTTATGGCAATTCCTGATCATTCAAAAAGTGTCAAACCTGATATGTTCACCGGTGTTAACTATAAATGGTGGGCTAATCAGATGAAATACTGGCTCACTACCTTAGGTCTTTTATCTGCTATTGACACTTCTGAGTCATCTACTAGTGGTTCTCAACCTTTGACTCCTGATCCTGCTCAACCTGCTCCTTCCCCTTCTGGTTCTGGTGCTAACTCCTTTTCTAGCTCTATGAAACCAGAAGAAATCAACTATCATTGTTGTCATAGGATCCTTAGTGCACTTGCGGACAACCTTTATGACATATATTATGAGTTCAAAAGTGCAAAAGACCTATGGAATGCTCTTGAAGCATAATATGGCTATGATGATGCCGGAATTCTGCGTTTCACCTCCTCCTCCTTCAATAAGTTCATGATGGTTGATGACAAGCCCATTAATGAACAAATTCATGAATTCCTAGATTTCCTCCGTCATATCCAATCAAAAGGAAATACTTTTACTGACGATTATAAAGTTTCTTGTTTGATTGATAAACTTCCTCCCTCCTGGTCTAGATTTGCTGGAGATCTCCGACACAAGCAAGGAGATCTAACCTTAACTGAAGCCCTCAAGGCTATTCGTATTGAAGACCATCATATGCAAAATTCCAACACCAAGAATGAAACAAAAGCTAAAGTAAACTTAGTATAGGATAAGCCTAAATCTAAGAATTTCAAACCCAAAGGGAAGAAATTCAAGAAAAATCAACAATCTTTCAACAAATCTTTCAACAAATCCTCCTTCAAATCAAATCTCAATTCTTCCAGCCATAAGTCTGATGAGAAGTTCTGCTTTGTCTGTGGTAGAACCAACCACATGGCCCACAACTGTTTATTTCGGAAGAAGGAACTGGCCAAACCTGCCCCTAAAGGAAATGGGTCCAACAAAGTTAATATGATTGAAATGAATCTAACCTCCTTCGGGTTAGCCTCTTCATCTCATCTTGTAAATTCTCTAACTTCTTCCACTGATTGGTATTTGGATTCCGAAGCAAATATCCACGTCTGTAATGACCGCTCTTGGTTTTCAAATTATCAGGAATCACGTGGAGGAAGCATAAGCTTAGCAGATGACTCCACTAAATCAATAATAGGAAGTGGACGTATAGAGCTCACCATGACTTCTGGGAAAGTTCTTCATCTGCAAGGTGTTTATCATGTTCCTTCTCTCCGTCGCAATGTGATTAGTGAATCTCTTCTTCTTAGAGCTGGTTATAGGATTGTAAAAGAATCCAACAAATTTGTGTGATTACAAAGAGTAATGTTTTCATAGGAAAAGGTTTTATTTGTAATGGCCTTTTCAAACTCAATGTAATCAATTCCAGTTCTAATGAAATTTCTGAGTCTTCTGTTATTCAAATTGTTGAGTCTTGTGATGTTTGGCATGGACGACTTGGACATATCAATTTCCAAACCTTGTAGAGAATGAGTAAATTAAACCTCATTCCTAAATCTT